CACATCAAAGTAAAATTCTAGTATTAATAGGAAAGGACTCTAGCTATGGGAATTCTTGCTTGTGTAGGATCATTTTTTTAGAAATGTCCATGGGTGGGTGGGTTGAATCAGAATGTGTATCAATTGTTGAATGTAAAACTCTGATCTGCTGTGAAAACTTCCATTTAATATTTGTATACACTTAGAATAATTCACTTTTAATAAAGTGCTTATTGAGTGCCTAGTGTATACCACTGCAGAAGATAAGAAACTAAGTGCAGCTTACAAAATGTTCCTAATTATTACAGCATCATTTGTAATAGCAAATGATTGAAAACAACACAGGTGTCCATTAATAGGCATCTTGTTGAAGAAACAATAGCACACCCACACCACAGAACACAAGATAGTTACAAAAGAGAGCACAAATTGAAATGAAAAGATCTGTAAGACATATTTAAATGAAAATAAATAAAAAACCTCAGGGGTTGCCGTGGGTAACTCAGAAAACAAATTAGATGTTTACATAAAGATAGCTTAAAGTGATACATAAGAAACCAACAAAAACGGTTTCTTTACCGCACTGCCTTCGAGTTGACTCTGATTCAGAATGACCCTATACGATAAAGTCGAACTGTTCCTGATGGTTCATGAGACTATAACTATTTACAGGCGCAGACAACCTCCTCTCTTGCCTCCAGAGAAGCTGGTGACTTTGAACTGCTGACCTTGTGGTTAGAAACCCAATGCTTACCCTACTATCCACCAGGTTGCCTTGGTTACCATGATAGGGCAGGATAATGGAGTGAATAGGATCCAAGTGCAAATAAGAATTCTTTATCATACCAATTTATAAACTATCAAGGGCTCATGAAGGGAGGGGGGAGCGGGGAGGGAGGGGAAAAATGAGGACCTAATGTTGGGGGTTTAAGTGGAGAGAAAATGTTTTGAGAATGATGTACAAATGCACTTTACACAATTGATGTGTGTATGGACTGCGATAACAGTTGTATGAGCCCCTAATAAAATGTTTTAAAAAAAAAAATAAATAAAAGCAAAATAAAGAAAAGTTGACCAAAGTAAGAGAAGACTAAAAAAAAAAAAAAGAATTCTTTATCTCCTTTTTATAAATTTTGATGCTCAAATCCATTGAAAAATTTATTAAACACGGAAGCAATAATGGTTAAATGTGGGCATTAAATAAATAGCGTGTTTTCCTGGCACTTATTAAGTACCCAATAAAGGGGATGAACCCTGGGTGAGTAGTGATTACTTGGCATGTAAACCATACAGACAGAAGTTTGAAACCAGTAGGTTCTCCAAAGAAGAAAGACGAGGCTTTCTACTCTTGTAAGAGTTACAGTCTCAGAAAACCACAGTTCTGTGCTGTCCTATTGGGTCACTATGAGTTGCAATCAATTCTATATAGCAAGTCTGATTTGTTTTAAGAGGATAGTCTTATTATCGTTTTTTTTTATCAAAGACAAGCCAATGGCAAAGCATTGTTAGGATGTGTGTAACCAAACTTTGGAAGTATGCTTTACTATTGTAGGTGCTGACAAGTTATTCTGACTCATTGTGACCCTCTGTACAGCAGAAAGAAAGAAACACTGCCCAGTCCTGCACTATAACTTTAATTATGTGTGAGCCCATTGGTGCAGCCTCTGTGTCAATCCATCTTGTCGAGGGGCTACTTCTATTTGGCCGTCCCACTACTTTACCAAGCACGATCAAGTAGTGAGGCAGCACTATTGGAAGAGTTTTAAGCTGGGTCTCCCATCACTACCAACACTTGTGACTCAGTATATTATTTTTCAAATTCAGTCAGGATATTCCATCAACACACAATGTAAATTGCATTATGTATGATAGAGTGAAATTACTTAATATGTAATCCATAGACTTTACAACTCCCACCCAATGCATGGGTGGGAGCATATAAAGAAGGCATTGTAGACTCTAACGAGGGGATTGACCAGTTTTACCATTCTGCTGGATAGTAGAGCGAGTCACCTTAGAAGCAAGAACAGAAATTCCATGACCAGGAGAAAGAAGAGCCTCCAGCGGAGCTCTTGCAAGTGGTAGAAGCAGCAGAGACCACAGCATTGGGACCATAAGACAGAGAAGAGGAACTCACTGACAACCACGAGGCTGCGTAGCACATGGGCTTGCTACAGAGGCCGAGGCCAAGTGACGATGTGGCTGAGAGGCTAAGGATCTAAGAGAGATGCCCGCCAATGTGGCTGAGAATGAGTGCTTCTGATAAAATAACTGTATCCTTACTATTTTTAACCCCTTGGCTTTCCTAATATACCCCCAGAATCACAAGTACTGTCTGTGGGTTCTTTGTGGCCCCTGCAACAAATTACCAAAGTCAGCAGAGAAGTAGAGTAGTGTGTGCAGGGCATTGGTGTCAGAATAGGCCTTGGACTGCTCTGGAGTAGGATTCTCCTCTTTTGGGTCACTAGAGGAAGTCAGACATGACCCTCATGCTATTTCCTCACCAAGTTATTCCACTACACGGAGCTTAGATGGCTTAATCAGCCCAATGTTTATAAAGCATTTTACCAATTTTTCATCTGCTCTTCTCCATAATTCTGCACATATGGTTGGGAGGTGGTGTGAGATTCGTGGAGAACCTCCCCGTAGGGTTTCCCAAGCTGTGATCTCTGTGGCAGCAGACTGTCTCCTCTTCTTCGCATGGGCTGACTTGGCCAGCAGCTGAGAGTTTAACTGTTGTGCCATCCTGACTCTGTGTAGAGGGTAAAAATGTATACAAAAATTCTGTGAGCTGTAACATCTCATTCCTGGCATTTTGGAGTAGAGTTGTAACAATCAGGCAACTACATATATACTATAAAGCATGGGAGAATAATTTGTGGTTAAAGCAAAACCTTAGAATCCTGGCCAGGATTGCACCAGAAGTGAAAGAGGAACGTGGAAGGATGGCCCAGACTTTGTCTTCTAGAAGTGGTTTTTCCTTCTTTTTATTTTCTCCCATCTCCCTTCTTTTATGAATCTCCACTCACCTAACAACCGTGGGCACTGCTTCATTCTGTTGTTCACAGAACTGACTTGACAGCAACTCAGTCATAACAACAACTGATTAGGTATTTGGGGTTTTTTGTTCTCTTCTTTCCATGAGATGGTTAGGCTCATAGTTGGCTGCTTTCTCTCTTAGTGTCTTAGTCAATACTACTGGTTATGAGCCACAGAAACCAATCTGTGCTTCCTGGGTAAGGAAAGCGATTGTGCAGTAATGCTACAGGGAGCTCCCTGGATCCCATGTGGAAAGGAATATGGACATGCCTCAGTGGGGCCTGGAGCCAGAGTGGATGGTCATGTGAGGAACAGCCGATCTCCCATGGTGCCAGCGCTCCTCGCTGCCATCTGCTCCAACCTTCTCACTGGGCAGCAGGCACTTTTGAGCTTTTCCAAGCACACAACAAACATCACTTCCCAATAGCTCCCAAGCTTATGGCTCATCCCTTTATACATGTTTTTAAATCTTTAAAGATAATCTGACCTATTTTGACTCAGCGCCCGCTAGAATCCAGTCAGCTATGCTGGGAGAAGGACCCGGGCACTGACGAAACCAAACTTCTGAGGGTGATGGAGGGGGAGAGAGGGCTGGACACATCCCTCAAAATATAGGTGAAAACCCACACAAAATACTGAGGTTCAGCCAAACATCAGAACCCCACTGAGGAACTAGAATAAGTAAAGTTAGTAACTCCATTATGATAAGAAAGAATGGCTCAAGGGGTCTCAGGGAGGAGACGAGCCAGTCAGGGTGCGATGTAGCAACGATGAGAAATACAACTTTCCTATAGTTCCTAAATGCTTCCTCCACCCCACCCCTCCCACTATCATGATCCGAATTCTACCTTGCAAGTCTGGCTAGACCAGAGGATGTACACTGGTACAGATAGGAACTGGAAACACAGGGAATCCAGGGTAGATGATCCCTTCAGGACCAGTGGTTTGAGTGGTGATACTGGGAGGGTAGAGGGAGAGTGGGTTGGAAAGAGGGAACCGATTACAAGGATCTATATGTGACCTCCTCCCTGGGGGACGGACAACAGAAAAGTGGGCGAAGGGAGATGTCGGACAGGGCAAGATATGACAAAATAATAATTTATAAATTATCAAGGGCTCATGAGGGAGGAGGGAGTGGGGAGGGAGGGGAAAAAATGAGGACCTGATGCCGGGGGCTTAAGTGGAGAGGAAATGTTTTGAGAGTGATGAGGGCAATGAATGTACAAATGTGCTTTACACAATTGATGTATGTATGGATTGTGATAAGAGTTGTATGAGCCCCTAATAAAATGATTTTTTTAAAAAGAAAGAAAGAATGGCTCATTTTTTCTTACTCATTCAGCCTTTGGATTCTCTTTACAAACTTCCTACATGGCTCATCCCATACGCATGGCACACTCCAGGAAGCTCTGACATGCGCACGGTGTAGAAGGTCGCTTATGAGACGTGACTGGAAGATCATCTGAAAGGTCTATCATGGCACCTCCCCCACATGAATCCACCAATGTCTTTGGATATCTGGCCTTGCCGATGACAAGTTTAGGAAGCTCCCCAGGTGATTCTAATGTGCAGTCACCCTTGAGAGCCACTGCACTAGCTGAGAATGGGAAGGGTAATAAGGAAATTATTACAGAAATGAGTGTCTGTGCCACTGGTGCACTTTGCTTACTTCAGTGGACATTCACTGATTTATTCAGCAAGTATTTGAAGTGCTTTCTGGGCTCTCCTACAGTGGTGAATACGGTAAGCCTAGTTTTTAGTTGTCCTTGTATGGTGATGGAGACAAACAATCTTCATGTGTGAAGGGCCGTAGGCTGGTGGGAAAGTATGTAGAAGAGCATTAGTCTATAAGAGGCATATTGAAAGAACCATTCAAATGGGCCATTCTTAAAACTTTTGTTCTTGATACAACTCTACATATCTTAATTTTTTTTCTGATCATCTTAATTTCAGCAATCAAAAAAATTTTTTTTCTCTTTAAGGTGACTCATATTCTTAATGTTGCATGTGGAGTTGAAAATGCATTCCTCAGTGACTTTACCTACAAGAGCATTTCTATATTGGATCTGCCAGAAACCGATCTCCTATCTTATTTCCCAGAATGTTTTGAATTTATTGAACATGCAAAAGTGGAGGTAAGTTTCATTTGATCAGGTTCTCCAAAAACAGAATTTAAAATGGATGGGTCCCTCTACCAATTATTTCATTCATTCTTCTGGTTACTTATATTCTCCCATTGCATTTTTTTTCCTGAGACATTTACTTTAACATTTCAATTGCTCATTTTACTATGCATTCCTGAGAATAGTTAGGAGAAAAAAATTCTTACTGAATTTTCTGGTAAAAATATGTGGATAGATTTCCTTCGACAGTCTACCTGGTTGCTGACCAGCTGTTAGGTGATAAGTGGGATTTTTGTTGTTTGTTTTTAGATGTTGTCTCATTGGTGCCAACTCATGTTGTCGCTGCTAGGTGCTGTTGAGTCAGTTCTGAGTCACAGGGCCCGTGTACAAGAACAAAGCACTGCCCAGTGCGGGGCCATCTTCACAACCCTTACTGTGTGTGAGCCCATTGTTGAAACCACTGTCTTCCTAATTTTTACTGATCTACTTTACCAAGCATGATATCCTTTTTCCAAGGACTATATGACTACTGTACTTGACAGTTTTGTCCTCTTGGCTTCTAAGGAGCATTTCAGCTGTACTTTTTCCAAGACACATTTGTTTATTCTTCTGGCAGACCATGCTACTTCCGATATCCATGACCAACTTGATAATTGGAAGGCATCAATTCTCTGGTCTTCCTTATCCATTGTCCAGCTTTCACATGCATATGAGGTGATGAAAATAGCATGGCTGGAGTCAGGCGCTCCTTAGTCTTCAATTAGGGATGGAACTAGTCCTGTTAGTATATGAACATTCATTTTAGTCACTGAATAAGGAATTGAAATTCTAAATAGTACTTTTTACTTTCTTTTTTTAACTCTCAGGGAAGTATTTTAATGAACTACATATTTTTTCCCTTTCATCCAATTCTTTTTTTTTAATCATGATAAATACTGGTAGCAAATGTTTGCCATTTTTATAATCTTCACATGTACAGTTCCCTGACATTACTTATACTCATCCTATTGTTCATTACCATGAACTGTTCCAGTTTTTTTTTTTTCACGACTCTTTCAGAAGCTCAGTGGCCTATGCCATTTTAATAATAAAATTTCAGGACATTCTAAGGACTAAATGTTTATTTCTTTATTTACTTTATTAAGATTACATGAGAATACTAATTAAAGATGTCCATTTGTTTGCTGACTTTTGAAGACCAACAAGCAACAAACATAACACTTTAATCTTGGTATTGGGAGCAGAACTCATTGGTTGGCTCTTTTAAATAATTACAACTTGACATGGCTCCATTTTAGTGTGTTTTACATAGAATCACCGTAGCAAAAAGAACTGGTTGGTATTCAACCATTTCAAGTGGTATCATATGCTCAAGAACCAATGGTACTGAATGAAGAAATCCAGACACTGCAAGCATCAGCCACAGGCTCCAGGAATTGAAGGGATACCAGTTGAATTGTTTTAACAAGCTGGTGACGAACTGGATCCTTCATCTATGCCAAGAAATCTGGAAGATGGCTACATGGCCAACTGAGTGGAAGAGATCCATATCTGTACCCATTCCAGGGATGGGTACCGATGTCCAAAAAGAGTGTGGGCATTATTGAACAATATCGTTAATATGGTATGTAAATACATTCTTGCTGAAGAGCATTCAAGAAAAGTTGTAGTAGTGCATCAATAGGGAGCCGCCAGGAATTCAGGTTGGATTCAGAAGAGGATGTCAAGCAAAGGACATCACTGGCAATATCAAATGGATCTTGCCTGACAGCAGAGAATACAAAAAAGACATTTATTTGTGTTTTCTAGACTATGCTAAGGCATTCTACAATATGGATCATACCAAACTATGAGAAGAAGAGAAATCCCAGAACACTACATTGTGCTCATGCAGAACCTGTACATGGACCAAGAGGTAGTCGTTTGAGCAGAACAAAGGAATACTTCATGCTTTAAAATCAGGAAAGGTGTGTGTTAGGGGTATGTTTTCTCACCATATGTATTCACCCTGTATGCTGAACACATAATCTGAGAAGCTGGACTATATGAAGGAGAATTTGGCATTAGGATTAGAGGAAGATTTATTAACAGCATGCATATACAGATGACAAAACCTTGCTTCCTGAAAGTAGGTAAGGAGGACTTGAAGCACTTGCTGATGAAGATCAAGGATTGTAACCTTCGTTATAGATTGCAACTCAATGTGAAGAAAACCAAAATCTTCACAACTGGATAAATAGCATCATGTAATGGAAAAAAGACTGAACTTGCCAAGGATTTCGTCTTGCTTGGATCCACAATCAATGCTTATGGAAGCAGCTGTTAAGAATGAAACAATGTATCGTTTGGGACAGAATTGCTGCACAAGACCTCTTTAAAGTTTTGAAGAGCAAAGGTGTAACCTTGAGGACTAAGGTGCTCCCGACCTAAACCATGAAATTATCAGTCACATGTGAAAGTTGGACATTGAATAAGGGAGACTGAATAAGAATCTATGCATTTGAATTGTGGGGTCGACAATATATTTTCAAGAGATTGAAAAGTACTATGGACTGCCAGAAGAAAACAATTCTTTCATGGGAGAATTACTGCCCAGTGCTCCTTGGAAGTGAGGATGGCAAGACTTTGTCTCATATACTTTGGACATGTTATCAGGAGACAGTCCCTGGTATAGAGGAGCGGCAGCACAAAAGGGGAAGACTCGATGAGGTGAATTGACACTCTAGCCACCATGGTGGTCTCAAACATAGCAGTATTGTGAGGACAGCCCAGCAGGGGCCAGGCAGTGTTTTGTTGGGTTATGCACTGGGTCTCAGTGAGTGGGAGCAGATGACGGGAACTGAGAACAACAACATGGAATTCTTCTCAAAATTTATGTGAGATGAATGGATGTGAAACTAGAAGCAATTATCAGGAAGTAGCTTTCAGCAAGAGAAGTAATAATTAGCAAATCATCATTAGAATTTAGTATTAGAATTCTAGAGTTTTTTTCCATTGTCCTCCTTTTCTCTTTCCTACCACCTTTTCTTCTTTTCTTTCAATTAGCACGATCATTTAAATCTCCTATGTGCTGTTGTTTTGCCTTGTTATTATGTGACTTGCAAAATATAAAAAGATCATCCATTTTATTCAATAGCAGACATTTTGATAGAAGTTAGGGAAAAGATCTTGTAATTCAAAACCTCGTATTAGCTGCTCCATTTCTGTGTGTGAACATTTTTATATGATGTAGATTGCAGTGTTTCAGTACGCCAGTTAATAGTGTTAAAAATTATGGTGTCTCTGCCATTAGCTGCTTCTTTAAGGAATAGATTATGCTCTAGAATGTAAAGTATACATATTGCAAGTGAAAATTAGAAGAATAGTATTTAGCAAGAAAAGCAATAAACTAGGCACTTGAATAAGCTCTTATTTTATTAAATAAAGTATGCCTTACTTGGGGCTATCACTAGTTAAACTCTAACCCTTCATATTCCTTAACCAACACAGCTTGAGACAAGGCTGAAGAACTCATGTTGACTGTGTGAAGTGCCACCCCTAGGTAATGGGAGCAGAAGAAAGGGAAGCGGCTCTGGGACAGATGAGGAGCATGCCTTCTCTACGGAGAACGGCTGGCTGTTCAGTGGATACGCTTGTTCCACCAACCTTAGCTACCCCTAGACAAGAAAACAAACTTCATGTCAAGACCAACGTTAGCAGAAAGAAAAGGAAGGAAATTCATTCCTTGGCCTCTGTTAGCTCCTCTTTCCCATTGGTCAGTTTAGTTGTGGGAGAAATCTAACAATGTAGTTAAGTTACTACCTTGTAGTTCTCCAGAAACCACTGGAAGCCAAATCTAATGTTCTGTGGTGGAGATTTCCATTCAAGTTCAGAAGCAGGAAGAGAAACCACAATTCTAGGTGTGCCTGTCTGTGCAAGAGCTACCACACGGGAAGAGCCAGACCTTCCCAGGCAATCGGAATGGCACGGGCCACTGGCTCCAGAAGTTATGCCTGAGGTGGAACCAGACGAGAGTCCTTGATATGACGGCACTGAGAGACTCTGAGGAAGTGAACAGAGTGTGGCTGATAAAAGATGGATTAGAATTCTGGAATAGGAGAGGACTTTAAAAAGTTCACGAAAAAAATTTCCATTATCTTTTAGTTTAATTTTTCCATGAATGTTTTGAAGCCTCCTTGTATTTTCTAGTTTCTCAAGCACTATATTTTATGTTGGCATTCCTAAGAGCAACTAATATTTCCTTGTCTTGAAAACGTGTTACTTACGTTAATACGTATTTAGCTTTAACAATAGAAATTCTTGAGTTTTCTTTATTGATTTTTCTAGAAGAGCTCTCTTCATGACTTTATGTCTATAGTAAATACACATATTGTTAAAGCTCAGGGTCTCAGTGAATTGCCTATTTTACAATGACCTTTTTAAGTTTCAGTTTCTTGTTTCCATCTTTTTACATATAGCTGCCCAAAAGTGTGTTTTCCATCTCTCCATGCCCTTCCTAATTTCTCTTTGGTACCCAAACAAAAATCTCTTAATTTTTTCCACCCTTCTACTGTTTCCAGCACATACATCACTTTCTCAGGGTTTTGTCTTAAGGGGTAGAAATGCACATAAGAGAGAAGTAGTAATGCTAATCACTGGAACCTTAGTAGTTCTTTTGGGAATTCAATTTTACTTCACCCCGCTTTTATGAGAAAAATGTTTTGTTTTTTATATGGAAGCATGTTACTTCATATTCCATGATTGCTATATCATTTACTTAAGAAAATGTGATGCTAGACATTTAAAAAAATTCATATTCCTTATAGAAAAATTATAAAATGTAGATAAGTAAAAATTATAATCACACTTATTCCCACCAGCTAGATATACTCCCCAGACCTCTATTATATATACAGGTTAATATATTCAGGGAACATTCATACACATACATATATATGTTATTTGAATCTACATTAAACCAAATGATACCCACTACCATTGAATAGATTCTGACTCCAAACCAGTCTACAGTACAGAGGAGAACTGCTCCCCAAGGTTTCCTGGGCTGCAAATCATTTCTGTACTTTCTTTAAAGTAAGACATTATGTGTTTGGACATTGTATCAACATCATATTATAGACAGGCAGTCCCTGTACAATCTGTAGTTACATACCTATAAAGCTTTTATAATCAAACTTTATGGGAGCCTGCTATACAAAGCCCACTAACAGAGCCTGGCCTTTGCAGTTGTATAGCTGGGCCAGGCAAGGGGTGTGCCAGCAGCCCGTCAGGAGTTGGCACACTCTGAGACAGGTGGGGTGAGAGGGTACACAGGGGGTTACAGAGAGGTGGCCATGGGGCCTGGGTGTGTGGGTACTGGGAACACAACGAGCTGCAGTGGCCCTGGGTGCCACTGCCCTGTTGGTGTGCGCAGCTTCTTGATCATGTGCCCTGCTGCTGCCTGGGCTAGGAGCCCACCAGCACTCCCAGCCTGATCAGTGCCATCAGTGCCTGCAGCAGGAGTGAGGGGGTCACTGCAGGTGCTCTCAGCAGGAGGAGATTCTATGGGGATTGAGATGTGCCTGGGCACCCTGGTGCTCCTTCACTCAGCGAGGTTGGTTCTTTAAAACCATCAGGAGAAAATAATAAAAGGAATCGGCTTTCCTTTTAAAAGCAAGCAAACAAACCACAGGACAGATGTATATTGAGTTCGAAGTTGCCTAAATGGCATGAAGCAACTTAGACCTGTATAATAAAATGTGTGTGTGTGTGTGTGTGTGTGTGTTTCAGTGGCTACTTCTTCTGAAATGGGCAACAGAGTCCTTCTTCGTTGTCTGTTCTTCATCTGGAAGCTCCACAGAAACCTTTTCACTTTGGGTGACCCTGCTAGCATTTGAAGTACCAGTGACATAGCTTCCAGCAACACAGCAGCACACAGGCCCGCACAGGATGACAAACTGACCGACAAGTAGTAGGCTCAGCACAGGAGCACGTGAGGCTTGTGCAGGCCTGGGCATGGTTTGCTCTGCTGTGCACAGGATTGCTAGGGGCCAGAATGATCTGATGGTACCGAACAACATGTGTGTGTGTGTGTGTGTGTGTGTGTGTGTGTGTGTGTGTGTAGGCTTCCAAAGATTAAAGGAAACATTCCATTATCTATGAGCACACACTACAGAGTTAGACATTTTAGTTACTGTATATCTGATTCTTTCATTGGTACATGCCAAGGAGAAGTGGGAACAAGGGAAAAGGAGAGAAAATACCACTGAAAACTATGAAAAGATCATGGAATTTCCCCATGAAGTCCTCACGTATTTAGTAATACTGTTGATTTTCTTTCCACCATCTGCTCCTCGTTTACTGCTACCAGAAGCTGTCAGATCGCATGATGCACAGGGGTTGTTGGGAGATTACGTGTCATAAAGAAGGCCCGGATTTGGCTCAGTCAATCTGTCAATAAATATCCATCATTCTGAGAAGATGGAGAGATGGACAGTGCTGCCCTGAAGAAGCTTGTGTACTACTTGGAAATTATTCATAACAGCTCCAGAAGATAGCAAATTCCATAAAGTGGATATGCCATAATGTCAGAACTACTTACCCAGAGCAAAATAGTGACTTTAATTTTTGAAAGACTGCTTTCCTGTCTCAAATGAAGAACAAAATTCTCATAAATACAAGGCTCGTGAAATATTTCATCCTTATTAGAAGCCAGAAGTCTCACAGAAATATTGCTATGAAGTAACAACAATTCCAGATGTGTACAGTGAATAGTTGTCTGTTGTTTTCTTTTATACAGATCATAAAATTTAGAAACGAGTAAAAATCTTTAGGAAAATAGATTTTAAATATTCCCGTTGACGTGAGGATTTTCAAAATATTCACTGTTTTTGTCATTAATTATTTGGCTTCTTTGAAAACATAGACACTTGCAAATTTGGTGTAAGAGATCCAGGGAAAGGATTTTCCAACAGTGTTATCAACCTGAGAAAACCGCCTGGCTACAGGAAAAGAATACAGTATTGTGACCTTATGCGTTGGGAAGAGTTCAGTAGTTCCTTTTTCCTCCTTCCCTCCCCTTGCTCCTACTGCTCCTTTGTGCCGTCCCCAGGGAAGAACTGGGTAAAGTACGCAGATGTCTAGTTCTGCAGGCTGTTGTTTGAGGCTGGGTTCTTGACCGACACACGCTCCTAGCTGTCACTGGGATGCTCATCATTTGGTGCATTTCATTCAGATCATTAACTTTTTAAAAGCCTTAGTCAGGCCAACCTGTATCGCCTCTGTTCCAGCACATCTATCACAGTCATTCTTGATGCAATATTGCCCGATCCGCAGTGGTCTTGCACCGTGTTCTTTTTCACCAGTCAAGTATCATGTGCACCGTACCTGAAACTTTCCAGCGATTGCCCTCATCTTGGGATCGGTTGACCTTTTCCACTCCACTTTCTTGTCAACCATTTGTGCCATCACTTTACTACCTGAAAAGTTAAGATATTTTAAAAGTTATTTCTCTTCAGGACAAAAAAGAGCCAGGAGTAGAACATTTTTCCTACGTGATTGTTTTATACGTAAATTGCCAAGCCAGTAATACCAGATGGTTGTTGTTGTTTTCATAGGAACCGTGCACACACATACACACACACACACACACACACACACACACACACACACACGGACTGTCTTTGGCTTTGTTTAATTTGTGAATATAGTTTTATTTACATTTCCACATTTATTCTTTGTGAGTTTCCCCCTCTTTTATATATATGTGGCTACCAAGTCTAGGTTTTTGTGTATACTTTACTACATTGTGATAGGTTTTTTGTGCCAACCTGGCCAATAGGAACATGGGGATTAATAAGGTTGCAGTTTGATTACTCTAGTTTAATAGAACATGCTGTTTTTCAGAATTTTGAATGAATCAGGAAGGCACTTCCCTCCTGGGGAAGACAGTGTAGAAAGAAGGGAGGGTGGAGCACCGAGGGGCTGACTGATTTTTCATTCACTGCTTTCAATGAGTTGTGTTTTGGTATTGGCCCATGTACATATATTTATAAGGCAATACACTGAGGCTGAAGATGGGCCCTGGGCCTTGGCTCATACCTTCCCTTAATACAAGAACACTTTGTTCTAACAAATTGGCATTCTGTGATGCGCGTGCACGCGTGCACACGATCGCTGAAGACAAAATGGGTGCATAGGCAGATGTGGTGAAGGCAGAGGATGGGTACCTGGCTATTAAAAGATATAGTGTCTGGGGTCCTAAAGGCTTGAAGTTAAACAAGCAGCCATCCAACAGTGAAGCAACAAGCCACATGGAAGAAAGCACACCATTGCGATCATGAGGTGTCATCGAGACAGGGCAACGGGCATCAGAAGACTTGCAACAAATAGTAAACAAACAAAAATGCATTGGTGAGAATGGAGGGGGGTTGGAGCGGAGACCCAAAGCCCATCTATGGACAATGGAACATCCCCCCACAGAGGGGTTGCAGGGAGAGGATGAGTCAATCAGGGTGCAGTAGAGCACTAATGGGTCACGCGATATAACTCTGATCCCTTGAGGCCTCCTCACCACCCCCAGTATCAGGAACCCAGTGCCGCTTCCCAATCAAGACTCGACAGGAGCATGTACATAGGTGTTGGCAAGAGATAAAACTCACAGCACATGAACCCAGGAACAGGAATGGGAACAGAGATACCAAAAGGGTAGGGGGAAGGGGGAGAGGTGGGAGGGAGGGGCCCCGATCACAATGAATGGCACAGAACCACACCCCCCCCCATCCAGGGGGAAGAGCTACAGAAACCAGAGGGGAAGGGAGACAACAGTCGGTGTGAGATTTGAAAATAATTAACATCTACAATCTATGAAGGGACCACAAGGGTTGGGGGTAGGGGCAGGGAGGGAAAAAAAGAGGAGCTGATCCCAAGGGCTCAATGGAAAGTAAATGTCTAGAAAAGAAAGATGGAATTTATGTACTAATATGTCAGATACAATTGATATATGGATTGTAACGAGTTGTAAGAGCCCCCAATAAAGTGATAAAAAAAGAAGATACTTGCGTCCCCCTGAATTGTGTTTTGATAATCTAAGAAGATGCTTGCTGAATCCTTTTTATATAAAAATTTTAAGTAATATGCGTATGCTCAGTTGACTTCCTAACCTTATTTAAAGGGATAATGATGATTTCTGTTCGATTCTTTTTTTTTTTTTTCTGTTCGATTCTTATTGCAGGATGGAGTGGTTCTTGTTCATTGTAATGCAGGCGTTTCCAGAGCTGCTGCAGTTGTAATTGGCTTCCTGATGAATTCTGAAGAAATCTCATTTACCAATGCATTTTCTTTGGTGAAAAATGCAAGGCCTTCCATATGTCCAAATTCTGGCTTCATGGAGCAACTTCGTCAGTATCAAGAGGACAAGGGAAGTACTGAGTGGGGCAAACTAAAGGAATTAGAAAATGGCAACAGTTCATAAGTTGTATTTAGATGATGACTGAGTACTGATGTTTGAATTGTTTCCTATAGCTACTCTTTTCCTTTTTTAGAAGCATAAATGTGCAAAAACTTCCATTTCTCTTGCTTTTTTCAAAGTGCTAATGTATACATTGACTTTTAAATTATCTTGCTTTTTCTCTTGTGCTACAGTGTGTGATTAAAGGACTTCTTTGCTTTGCTGAGGGAAAATAACAATGTATTAACCACCATTAATTTCTGTAGAAGAAAAAGACTCAGATATGAAATCTGTATTAGAGTACAGAAAAGATAAATCTGTTGAGTCTTTTTTGCATTTTTCTATTCCAGCAACTATTTTCACAAAGGAAAGATTTGTAATGCTACTTGCCTTACTATTTTAGAGGAAAGTAAATCTCTTTATAAAGAATCTTTTCACGATTAAAGGGGGTATTTTAAACCTCCCAGTGAGCTTACATGGATCTGGAATCGTATGCGATATTTATAGAACGGTTTAACAGCTACAACATTGTTACGCTCTCTTACCTACTTTTCATTCTGATTTTTAAAACTTAATTCTATTACCTCCCATCCCTTCCTTCTCAAATGTATATATACATGTTCTCTTATGTTATTGTGAGATCAACTTTAAGTGACCCAGTCTTCAACACTGTGTGAGTCACACCTCATCCCCCTTCACTGCTCGCCGCCCCTTGATACCTTACATCCTGTTTGGTGTCTCATGTGATCATTTTTTGTTCTCCTTGGGTCAGTAGGGAAAAGTTTTGTATATCAGAATTCCTCTTTTTGGAAGAATTTTTTTTTTTTGAAGAGAGATGAGTTGTAGTTTTGTAAGAAATTTAAAGTAAGTATTTAAAAGACCTGGAACCATTTACCATTTCATCTCTGGTCAGAGATTTTATCTCTATCCCCCCCTCCCCCTCTATTTTGCAGTCTTTACAGTGGCGAGATGGCCGGAGCGCTTGTTTCAGTAGCACGTATACATGCAGTGGCAAGGCTGAACTGAACGCCACACTTTGGCTTAAGCACATGCTTTGATTTTTTTTTTTTAGGAAAACTTTAAAAAGTTTAATTATAATAATTGAGGCATAGATTTTAAAATAAGTTTTAAAAGCCTTTCATAGCTTAGAAAATATCATCTATATTTTATATGTGAAACTTTTGAGTTCTTATTACTTATACATTATGTAGAGAAAGCATATTGTACAGAAAGTTGAAAAAGATACAATGACCCATGTGTGCATTATTAGAAGGTGGGCTTTCTTATGCAATCAGGAGAAAATAGAAGTGATAAATGCAAGTTAGGTTGCTTCTAGCCTGAAAAGATACCATCCTATATGAAAAGCAGCAAAATTTCAACCCCCAGTGAGCTATTTTAGGCTGTATAGGGCAGGTTAAATTCTCTTAAATAGGAGAGTGAGGTATAATGTCTCTGTGATCAGCATTAACAACGTTTTGCTGGGTGAACCTTCTCCATTCATACAATAGAGTTCATTTAAATACATTTTTCTTTTCTTAGATGCTGTTTTGTTTTCAGCCAGTGAATCTGACATGAAGCCTTGAATAAAACTTTTCATAATGGGCAGTACATTATAGTACTTATATCTGTTTGTGTGCTTGGTGGATGTCTGTAGTGATCTGGTTTCCATGTAAACAGAAATCTTCTGTTTCATCTTCAGAAGTGCTTTGAGCATAAATTTTGTTTTAATCCTAAATGACAGTATTTTGCTACACTAAAGTGAATCAATGTAATATAGTGTTTGTAAAATAGGAATACTATGGAAGACATTGAGGTGCATATGTAAGGAGTACTATGTAAGTCATGTACCATTTATTTTATACATAACTTCCCATGGAGACATATTGCTCTGTCATACCTGTTTTTTTTAAATACTTTTAAAATTGGGAGTTAATACATACATCATTCCATAGTTCAATCACACCACACAATATTGTGGAATTGCTACCACATCAGTTTCCAAACTTTCTTCCTTTCTTTTTAAAAAAAAATTTTAATTAAATGCTTTTATTGGGGGCTCTTACAGCTCTTACCACAGTCCATTGTGTCAAGCACATTTTTTTGTGTGTGTCAAGCACATTTGTACATGTGTTGCCATCATCATTTTCAAAACATTTTCTTTCTACTTGAGCCCTTGATATCAGCTCATTTTTCCCCTCCCTCTCTCCTCCACCCTCCCTCCATCATGAACCCTTGATAAATTATAGATGATTATTTTCATATCTTACATTGTCCTTTGACTCCCTTCACCTACTTCTCTGTGGTTCGTCCCTCTGGGAGGGGTTCTATGTCAATCCTCGTGATCAATGCCCCTTATGCCTCTCCTTCCCCTTATCCTTCTGGTTTCTCTACTCTCATTATTGGTCCTGAAGGGTTTATCTGTCCTGGATTCCCGGGGTTGCGAGCTCCTATCTGTAGCAGTATACATGTTATGGTCCAGTCAGATTTGTAAGGTAGAATTGAGGTCATGATAGTGGGGGTGGGGGAGAGGAAAGCATTAAAGAACTAGAGAAAAGTGTGTTTCATCGGTGCTATACTACACACTGACTGGCTCTTCTCTTCCTTGTTGTGGGGGAAGCCAGTCCCTCATATTATCACGGGTTCAGTAAGTGCAATTGTATGGTTAAGATATATAAAGATTATAGTAAAGTCATAGAGAATAAGGAGACATAGGAGAGAGTAATATAAGGAATTCGGGGGTGGGGGGGTGTGGGCTGTGGGGGAGAAAGAAAGAAGAAAAAAAAGTCAGATACTGTAAGGCAGCAGTGACTCCATGACAGGCCAAGCCTCTTAAAATAGGCCTGTTTCATTTTTCCAGCTTTAAGTTTTGTTTCTCTAACAGCCTTGAGTTTTGTTTCTCTAACGATGTCACCCTCTCCCCCAAAATGACGCTGACCACACCTGGAAAGGTCTGAGTGATCACAATAATGCTGACCGCATCTGGAAAGTTCTGAGTGACCACAATTGGAATGTCCTGAAAGTGGAGCCAGTCAAACAAAAAGACCTGCACAACCAATTGTCTCCGGATGAAGTCATTGAACTATGGGAGGGGGAGGGGCAATAGTTTCACCCAGCTTATGTAACCTGTAAAGAGTATAAAAACTTGGCTTGTGCCCCAGGCCGGGGTCCTCGTCTCAGAGGAGGCCACTGTGTTGGTGCTCTGGGACTTGGACCCTAGCTCGAGCTAGTCAATAAACTCCTTTGTGGTTTGCAGCCTCGGTGACTCTGCCTCTCTGTTCCTGGGGCCAAGGGAAAGCCGGCAGTAACAATACATTTCATGGTAGCATGCTTACCACAGCAACACTTAGAGGTACACATGGAGATGGGAGAGTAGAGGGCAGGAGCGAGAGCGATTTATTACTAACCAAGGCTTATATATCTTTTGGGGGCATGCAAGCCTGATTACAGGTAAAGACATCACAGGAAGGGGTTATACTATAGGCATACACATCACAGGAAGGGGATGTATAATAGGCATAAGCGTAACAGGAAGGGGATGAGCTAGAGGTGTACATATAATAGGAAGGGGAGGGACTAGGGGTATACATGTGATAAGATGGGCAGACCCTAGATTCAATATGGAAACCTAACTTTGGTCACCCTTGAGTGGGCTTGACCTACCTGGGCTCTCCTTCAGGTAAACAATCTACTATCCTTATCACAAGGGACTGGGCCCTACTTAGGGTGTAGCAGACTATACATGGCTGATAACCCTTAGGGAGGATAACTTCTGACCTACTTTCATTGACCGCCAAGTGCTTACCATGTGTAGCAAGCAACTAAGTTTGGCATATATTTTGGGGAGACAACTCGGGAGAAATCTTTCTGTTTCTCACACTTGTGACCCTTCTGTGAGAGGATGTCCAATTGTCTACAAATGGGCTTTAGTTCTCCACTCCGCGCACACCCCCCACCCCATTCACATTGGTATGATTTTGTTCTGGGTCTTAGATGCCTGATCCCTGATCCCATGGGTACCTCATGATCACACAGGCTAGTGTGCTTCTTCCATGTGGGCTTTGTTGCTTCTCAGCTAGAAGGCCATTTGTTTATCTTCAAGCCTTTAAGACTCCAGATGCTATATCTTTTGACAGTCAGGAACCATCACTTTTTTCACATTTGCTATGCACCCATTTGTCTTCAGCAATCATGATGGGAAGGTGAGCATCACAGAATGCTCGATTGTTAGAAGAAAGTGTTCTTATGTTGAGGGAGTACTTGAGTGGAGGCCCCATGTCCATCTGCTACCTTGATACTTAACATAAATATAAGTACATAGATCTATTTCCCTATCATTATATATAAGTATATTTACATATGTACATGCCTATATTTAGACCTCTATAAATGTCCTTTGCCTCCTAGTTCTTTCCTCTATTTCCTTTTGCTTTCCTCTTGTCCCACTATCATGTTCGGCCTTCATTCAGGTTCAGTAATTCCTCACTGTTACATTGACCTGGATCAAGCCCCACTAGGCCTCCTACGCCCATCTCTCCATTGATTTTAGTTTATTTGTTGTTCCCTTGTCCCTGGGCTGGTTGACCCTCCCCCTTCGCTTCTCCCACCTCCCCCATCTCCCGTGTCAGCCTAGAACCGTTGGTCCCATTGTTTTCTTTTCTGAATTGTTTATCCCACCTATCTTATCTAGATAGACATGCAGAGACATTAATAAGTGCAAAAAATGGGCAAAGCCACGCAAAACAAAGAAAGTCAAAACCAACAAATCAACAACAAAAAAGCAAAAACAAAATAACAACAAAAAGCAAGCCAATGACAAAAAGGAAAAACCTATAAATAGTTCCAGATCTTTTAACCTTTAGGCGTGTTTTCCAGTCAAGTCTGATGAAGTGCCACTCTCTGTCCCCAAAGTCTCTTCTTAGTATTCCCTGGGGACTTCATTGCTTTGCTCCCCTCGTCCATTATTTTCCTTCCTGGACTCCTTGACATTGCCTCCCTCTTATGCCTCCACCCCCACTGTAACCCGACCCCAGCCCTCATTCTACTTGCTGTCCCTATAGGTTCATCAATCCTGGGTTTCACATACCAAAACCCAGAAAAGCATATAACACAACCTCAAGAGGTAGACCCCCAATGTCATAACACCTCTGAGATAAACCCTAATATAAACAAACGAAAAAGCAATACAGAAAATGCTGAAAATCAAATTAGGTCCAGTGGGCATCAGAGTGTGGGTCAACTGGCAAGGATTTAACCTTTCCAGTCAGGTTTATCCTTTTGATCTATATTCACTGATCCAATGCACTGTTTAGTAACCACTTTCCTCCAATCCCTGCATTCTGGTTAGAGGGAGATCACCAGAGGCTTATTTCCTACATAATTCTCACAGATGTATCTCGGGTTCCCACTGTCACCCATGGCCTTCTGCAAACTGGATTCTCACAATTTAGTTTCTGATATTTATCCTTCCTTCGACTTCAGATTATACGACTTACAATCTTTTGGTGATTATGGTGTGCTTCTTTTATGTGGACTGAGTTGAGATCTCACTTAGATGGCTCCTTGTTTAAAAACAAGCTTTTAAGACCCTAGACACTATTTTATCCAATAGCTGGGTACCATCTAATGCCTTAAAAACTTTATCCTTATGATCCTGTATTTCACATATTATGTATTTAAAAAACAAAAACGATGTAAATAAAACATAGAACTGTCTTGAGGGAGAGGACAAATTTTTATCTCTTTATAGTATATATGGGTTTGTGTGTGTGCAAGTCATTTCTTTAAAGGAAATGAAAATATCCTTTGTTTTTTAACATTGAAAAGATGATACAGAGCCTTTCCCAAACCTCAAACTCACCACCATCAATTTGGTTCTGACTCAGTGGTCCTATAGGACAAAAGAGAACTATCCCTGTGGGTGTCTGGGGCTGCAGATCTTTACAGGAGCAGGAAGCTTCAAATATTTCTATAGTACTTAGGAGGAACCCTCAAGTGTGACTTCACCAAACATTCTTTAATGGAGCAGACTCGTATATAAGAGCATGGCCTTTTGACATTGTCCAGTGGATTAACGCAGTAAATGAATACTTTCATGTACTGGACTGTAGTGTGTTGGAGAATAACAAGTGTATGGCAAGGTGATTTATTAGATTTTTCCAGGTGACACCGAATATTTGATTTTTTTTGAATATTTGATTTTTTTATGTCCAAAAAATCTTGGATTTGGCTCCATATAGTTACTTAGCAATTTAAACCAAAATATTTTTGAAGTTTTGTATTTTTGCAATGCATACAATTACAATGATAATCAATAAATGTGACTTATTTTAATTTACATATATCTAAAAATAACAAACTTTTCTACTTCAGCTAAAGATTTGGCTTATTTTTGATAAATATTTATAATGCACCCTGTATTATTTCTAGGTACTGATACATTTAATTGAAAATAATATTTATCCCTGGTTATGGTTATTTCTTCAACAAATTCCGTGTCAAAAAATAGAATGACATGTTTCCAAGTACTAATTATTTCAGGTCTATGGGGATTTATTAAGGAGTTCTAGTGGCAAAGTGGTTACGCATTGAACTGCTAACCATAAGGTCAGTAGTTCAAAA